TCATCGCCTGGAACGAACGCATACGTGCGAAAAGACGAGGTCGCTTTCTGCGACAAGACAACGTGAATGGTGCCCAGGAATCGGCATGAAATATGTGACCGTTAATCTCTAGAAGCATGTACAGTACGCTCACGGCACTTAGTTCCTGCAGCCGAGCGACGATAGGGGTCAAATCACTTGTAAAATCGCCGATACAGGTTTTCCGTAAATGTTTTTTTGTAAGCCTTTACTTGCTTGTGCGCGAGAAGAACACTGGCCTTTAGCATCAGGTGGTTTCCACTTGCAGTCAAAGCTAGCCGTCTCAAATGAGATCCTTCGGCTGTCGAGCAAACAAATCCATGCTGTAAGTTTCTACATTCTCCTCCTATACTCTGTTTCACCTTGTGTTGTACCGAAGGAAAGGCTACAAGCGCGAGCTCCTTGCTCTAGGGGACACCTCGGCGGCACAAGCTCTCGTGCACCAAGGGCAGCTGCCAACGCTACGAGCTCCCGCTTCTAGCCTTCGCTGCAGTACAACATAAGGTGATACGAAGTATAGCGTATGCTCCCCTGTCCACTTAAACTTAGGCCAAAAGAGCCGATGGAGAACAACTTGACAAAGATGACACTGTAACTTAGCCGGACGCAAAGACGAATTGTTGGAGGCAGCTCGGTCAGAGCAGTACAACTGCACGGGTGCGGCCAGGAACACCCAGCCGGCATGGCAGCTGCCGCTATCTGCTAACAGGGAAGCAAGGATTGCGCTGTTCTCAGAATGTACCGCTCGCAAGGCGTGCGTAAATAATCCCTATAGCTTCTGCTCCACAGTTCACTTAAAGTGATGCTGAACCGAAATCTGGATTCCACAAAACACAGCGGCAAAAGTGTGCAACTGGATGCTACAAACACCAAAACATCACTCATACAACAACATCTCGAACAGATAACCGTATGTTTCTAAAAAAGGAAGCGCATTTGACAGATTTCTTTACATCTTGTTTCTCCGAAGTAGAGGGAACTTCCTCACGCCTTCCCCGCCTCGCGGCCTTGAAGGGGCAAAGCGAAGAGAGGAGAAAATGAGATCGCCTCGTCGGCCTGGTTCAATCTCGACCTCTTTTTCCAAACATACGGCCGTCCATTTGAGATATCACCTTATGAGTAGTGTTGTAGAGATTGTAGCGTCCCGCCTACATTTCCTGCATTGTTTTCTTGTAATCCAAATTTCAGTTCACCATCCCTTTAAGGGAGAATGAAGTATGTATATAATGGCTTAAAGGGGCCCTGCAATCATATGTAAGAGTCTAACATTTTTGCGGTTTCCACAACAAGCAAGCCACAGTAACTAAATATCAGTGTGACATATTTTAACTGGACGACGCAGAAACCTTCTCCACCTATGGGGGTGACCTGCAGTGCAGAAACTGCGCGATATATGACGTCTTTGGTCCTGGGCTTACAACTGGTCAGAGCCGCTAAAAGCTCCTATTTAGTCGAAACACAAAATTTAAGTGGTGCGAACCATTTCACTTATTTAGAAAAGCAGTTGTTCACTATTTTAGATCAGAAAAGAAACAAATGCAGTTCATAAAGTACGGAAGCAAGAAATGATCCGTCGATATACCCGCCACCAAGCGGTGGGAAATACTAGAAAAGGATAGTGGGATCAGGCAGCAATGAGCGGCAAGCGTAGAAAGGTCCCGGATGTACGTGGCAGCGCTGTGCTCGTATACAGGCTCGAGGGTCCAACCGGTTCCGAGCGTTCCGAAGGCCTTCGGCGAGAAGGTTCGGCTTGCGGTATGGCCTTACGGCAGCGCGAAGTGGCTCCCGTTCTGAACTGATCTCTATCCCGTGTTTGCTGTCATTTCTGACCAATGAAGTGTCATGCCAAATTAGTGTGTAATCGCGCAGCAAATGCAATGCGAGCCGCCCTGGCTGCCCACTTCATACAGCCTATCCAGAACATGCTTTAGTGGGGCCCTCTCAAGCCGTCGACACGGAGTGCGGCAGCTGTGAGCGCTCGCTGACCTTTAGGTCACGGCCACTCAAGCGACCAAGGATGTCATGAAGGAGGTTATTTTTTGCTTGTTTTTGTAATTTTAATTTGCCCATAACTTTTAAAATAAACCAAAATTCAAGAAAAGTCTTATTAAGCTACTACGTTCAGTGCGCTCAGGTGCGGTGGAAATTAAAAACCACAAAAAAAGTCCTCGCAGGGCTTCTTCAAAGGGGCCCTGCAAGAACTTTTTTACTGGTTTTTAATTTGCACTGAACGTAGTAACTTAATAAAACTTTTCTTAAGTTTTGCTTTATTTTAAAAGTTATAGGCAAATTAAAATTACAAAAACAAGCAGAAAATAACCTTTCATGACGTCCTTGGTTGCTTGAGTGGCAGTGAACTAGAGGAGGGGTAGTGAGCTCAGCGAGTGGTCACGGCTGCCGCATTCCGTGTCGACGGCTCGAGAGGGCGCCACTAAAGCATGTTTTGGATAGGCTGTATGAAGCAGGCAGCCAGAGCAGCTCGCATTGCATTCGCTGCGCGATTAAACACTACTTCGGCATGACACTTAATTGGCCACAAACGACGACAAATACAGGGTAAAGATCAGGTCAGAACGGGAGCCACTTCGCGCTGCCATACCACCAAAAGGACAAACCGCAAGCCAAAGTTGCTCGCCAAAGGCCTTGGGAACGCTCGGAACCGGTCGAATCCTCTAGTACATAAGACCGCAGCGCCGCCACATACATCCGGGACCTTTCTACGCTCGCCGCTTGTGGGTGCCTCATCCCACAACACCTTTCTAGTGTGCACCGCCTTTCCCACTGCTTGGTGGCAGGTATGTCGACGGGTCATTTCTTGTTTCTGTACTCTCTAAACTGCATTTGTTTCTTTTCTGACCTAAAATAGTGAACAAAGCAACTGAAACGTGGCAGGTATGTCGACGGGTCATTTCTTGTTTCCGTACTCTCTAAACTGCATTTGTTTCTTTTCTGACCAAAAAATAGTGAACAAAGCAACTGAAACGGTTCGCACCACTTGTATTTTGTATTTCGACTAAAAAGAAGCTTATAGTGGCTCTGACCAGTAGTAAGCCCAGGACCAAAAACGTCACATATCGCACGCTTTCGGCACCGCGGGTTGCCTCCGCAGGTGGAGGTTTCCGTGTCGTCCAGTTAAAATATGACGGACTAATATTTAGTTACTCTCTCCGTTCCCGCTGGCTTGCCCGAACCCTGAAGGACGTGGAAACCGCAAAAGAAGGTAGATGCTTAAATATGATTGCAGGGCCCCTTTAAGGCATGGGACACAAGACTTTCTGCGGCAACGTGCCTCTCAGAACCTGGAATAAATTTTGGTATTGTGTTGTCACGTAAATAACTTGTTTCTTTACGGCTTCAACAACCACACAAGCATAGTAGAGCCCCATGAAAACAAGTCAACATTAGAAAAGGGCAAGTCAATACATAATAATTTGTAACTTCTATCTCATTCCTAGTTCTGTGGTACCTTTTGTGGATGCAGCTCTTCATATGTGGCAGCCAGCCTGTTCCTCTTTTTCTCCATTGCCATCTCTCCTCCTAAATTAAGAAAACAAATATACCAAGCAACTTCGTAACACTGACGTTAAACAGAGCAACTTCTCCCAACACCTCGACGTTGCAATACTTGCAACACAGTTTTTTTTTGCGTTTACGTTCAGGGCCGTAGGGCCCAGCTGGCCCAGCCCTGTCTGTCTGTCTGTCTCTCTCTCTCTTCTCCTCCTCCTCTCCCTCCCCCCCCTCCCCCTCCCTCCCTCCCTCCCTCCCTCCCTCCCTCCCTCCCCCCCCCCCCCCCCCCGCTTCTCGAATAAATATCCTAGCTACGGCACTGCCTACGTTTGTACAAATTTTTAATATACATACCGTGACGGCACAAAAACGACATCGACACTTAATTGCGTTTTATTTACACAAGGCGAGAAGTCTAACTTTTACAGCGTAGGTTGGTGGCACAAAACGTGCCCCTGCGAAGCATGGGCCGCTCGAGCGCTTGAAACATCCCGAGCCACTGCATTTGTGCGCTAGTTTTGGCAATGCTGTCTCCCACGAAATCTTAGCTAAGACGCAGTTTCTAGCAAACTGGTCCTGCAACAAAACGGCGCGACAAGATCATAGAGCTGGGAGCGGACACGTTTTACACTTTTTTTTTTTCGAAATAACTGGCCCTACCTCTTCACAGGTGACGCCGAAATGTGAAACGCGGTATTACAAGGCAAAGACAACTTAAGAAGCTCACCTATTGCCAACAAGTACGCTGGTGCTGCTGCCTTGTTCTTGTCCCATTTGACGAGGTGGTCCTTGTCACGGACAAGATCGATGTATGTTGGGTCACTGCAGAGCCGGCACGACAATTCCTCGTCCACTAGCGTTCTCACAGAATAAACGTCCCATTTGTTGGCGCTTTTCCACTTGATTAAGATATGCGTCATGGTATACAGAGACCGAGAACAAAAATCCGAGGCGAAATGGGTGAACGGCGAAGAAACGTGGTGCAACGGTGCAACCAAATAAACAGAATTGCAGAATGGATAGTACCCACCTTGGCCTGTGCAACTATATTGGGCGGTAGCCTGCGCCACCTATCGACGTTTCCTTGGAAGCGACCGCCCTGATGCAAGAAGGGTTTTGTAACATATTTATGTTGCAGTATTATTACATTTCTAAAGCGTGGGAAAACTTGTTGAGTTTCCAAAGTCCCTGAATTTCGTAAATATAACTTTTTTTTTTAATTTCAGAGCATTTGAACGCTTAAAAAGTGTTATGACCAAGTTCAGTCGGACACTTTCGGCGACTTCGGTCGATCTGGGCACTTTCAGGCTGCGCGTCTGGCAACAGCTTGTTTCAGAAAAGCCAAGCTTAATCCAATATCAAAGCCACAAATGCAGGTTTCGCTGATGCGTGCTTTGCGGTGCTTTGTCCCCGCTTTGCTGCCATTCCGGTGAATCGATTGTGTGTAGTTCTGTAGCTTGACTAGGAATACAGAAATGCCGGGTGAAGCGGTGCCGGGCGATGCGGTGCCGGGTAGTGCGGTGCGGGGTGATGCGGAGCCTCAGAGGAAGCAAAGAAAGCGAAGGAAGCGCTACAAGGAGTACTTGTGGGATCGAAGTTATGAAATGCCGGGGCGCACGAAGCGCAGATTAGACAAGGGAAATGCAGTTGGAAGCGTCGCTGGCGCCAGTGATGCTGCGTCCCCTCCTGCAACCGGAGAGAACTCAGCGGCGTCAAACGACATGCACGGTGCAAATGACGCGATGCAGACGACCCCTTCATGCGACGCCACTACTACAGAATCCTCGAGTGGTGACGAGAACATCCCTCCCACCGCTACTAACGCGGTGCCGAGCACACCACCGAACAGGGACGACGGTGCAGACTCATCGAGCAGCGAGGACGGTGCAGACTCATCGAGCAGCGACGAAAGTGTCCTTCCTGCAGCTAGTGAGACTGGCTCAGTACCGTCAGAAATCAGCGAACTGGTAATAATGGCTCAATCTTGCATAAGAGTAATGCTATATGCACTACGTAGTGCAGCTTCACTAGAAGTTGCTATAGACCGTTCTATGAGGGTCATAGCAGAGAGGGTAAAAGAGAAAAAAAAAATGCTCTCGCCCGCCTGTCGTCTGCTCCGCCGAGTGGGCAGTACCTAGCATCCGGCTGGCGTACAACCTCTGTTTAAAATCGCGTAATTTTGGGAATTTCAAGCACATATGCGCAGATTTTGGTATGCCAGATATCGTGTATTACTATGCTAGATAAAAAAAAGACTAAGAGTCCAATTGCTCTGTTATCTGCGTGCAAATAAAAAAAAAAAGAAGATAGGGAAAACTGTGTCAGACTGGCCGGTCTCTCAAGTGGAAAGTGAATCCAGTGGCTGTACCTTTTTTACCATACAAAGTTCGTACTGGTGTAGGCTTTTAGCGACCATGAGTGGATGTCTGAAATAATAAATACAAACGTGCTCTCCTGCCACAATACACGCAGTAGTTGAGGGTAGTACTGCCGGCTGACTCAACTGCTGTTTAAGTAACAGAAAAAAGATATATCAGTTGATCGTTTACCGAAGTAAAACAACAGAGAGCTCTAGGCTGATTTTGGAGTAGCCATAACTATTCTAATAACGCGAACCACTTCACAACGGCAGCCACGAGTGAGAGTTTGATGTTCCGTACAGCCCGCCGATACAGCCCAAAGATGGAGAATGGCAACCTCCTGTTTTGTCGCCTGCTAGCGGAGTTGGGCGCGTGCTCTCTTTCTCGTTTTACCCCGCCGAACCCGCTGAATTTCCCTGATGTATGGAGAGGGCGCTGCTGTCGAACAAAATGGTGCTGCCCAGAGAGCACTAAATGGATTGGTCTATATGGACTACGCGAAACTCGTTCGGTCTAGTATAAAACAAATTGTCAAATCGTATCTATTGAAACTAGTGTGGCGTAGTGGAAAGGTGTCTACTGCATACGCTGCAAGTCACGGGTTCGAACCATAGTACAAGTCAACTCTTTTTTTTAAGAACAGCATTTTCCAATATTTACGACATTTCTTTTTTACAATTATCACCAAAAAAAAAAAAAGTTTTGGGGGCTGCAATTGAGGAGAGCAGGACTTGGTCCACACATATTTCCACCACCAGTCTATGCGACCCAGCTGAACAATTACATTGGTACCAATTAGGTGTTGACTAAAGCTGTACGCACGACGTCGTGCACCTTGACCGCAAGCGGCTATACGCACAACGCAAAACTTTTTGGTTCTCATATGAAACTGACTGTCAAAACAAGATTTTCGAAGCTGTAGTGTAGCATAGCGGTAATGCATGTGCCTCATTCGCAGCGGACCCGGTTTTTTTTTTTCTCTCCAACGTTTTGTTTTGTTGAGGCATTTGGCGATATTCACATTTCTTTCTTACGATTAACACCGAAAAAAGCTAATGTTTTCGACGAAACTTCGCTTAACAAAATGGCATGGGGCTTCCTTTTTGGAGGTGCATGGCTTGGGTCGCCGGCTGCACGCCGCAAAGCAGCGTGATCGGGGGGGGGGGGGCCTAAGTGGGTTCATAGTTTTGCAATTATGAGCCGCATACTGTTGCCACAAAGCAGCGTGAACACAGTAGGGGGGAGGGAGGTTAACGAGCTCCCAGTGATACACGCACTGTCCGGAATGAGCTCTCCACATCGTGCGTATAGCCACTTCCGGTCAAGGTGCACGACGTCTTGCATATAGCCTTAGTCTTAGGTGTTCGGACAAAAAACCTCGCTAGGGGCCAATTGAGCCATTTAGGTCTTTGATTTCTAATTGGAACCTGATGAGTTTCCAATAGGCCTTTTGTGAAATCCAAGCGCCCCGGCCTGCGCGCGAGGAATTGTTGGAGAGTCTGTCCCTCACCTGGCCGCTCTGCCTTGAAATTGCATTGCCTTGTCGCATGCCTCCTCTTAATACTCTGTTTTTCGGTTTCATTACCTATTCTTATCCATTCCAATTAATTTTTTATTGCTTCTAAGTGTTTCTATTTTCTTCTGCATGCAATATTTCTTGTATATATATAGTATTTGCGTCTTTATTTTGCCTTTTTCGTTGGGAGTGCCGACGGACAACACGCCGCTTTGCGCGTCGTTCCAGGGGTGAGTACTACCGTTGCTACCAATTCCTGTCGTGCTGTTAGCTGTTCATTTTGGTTCATTTGACTCGCGTGCAGTAGAGAGGAGCCGTTTATAAACACCCGCGACGTCCGACCGTCGTATTGCGCGGTCGGACGTCGGATCGGACAGTTTCGTCGTACATGTGTTTCGCGCTTAAGGGCTTGCGCCGCTGCGTGCAATTGTCAGGCGCCGCAGCGTTGGATATGCCGAACGGTGTTACGGTTTCGCAGGCATTCGGACAAATGATTCGCGACGGCAAAGCGATGTGCTGTATCTTAGTCGGCACTGGAAGGCACACGCTACAGTGCAAGTCATCAAAGTAAGCGCGGGCGGCTAAATCGCACCGCACTCAACCACTCACCTCTCGCGTCGCAATTGTCGATTCAGAGCTCTGCCTACCCCAATAACATGTGCGAGGGTGTTCATAAATGGCTCCTCTCGACTGCACGCGCGTCAGATGAACCAAAATGAACAGCTAACAGCGCGACAGGAATCGGTAGCAACGGTAGTACTCACCCAGGGAACGACGTGCGAAGCGGTGTGTTGTCCGTCGGCACTCCCGTTGAAGAAGGCAAAATAAGGACACAAATACTGTATGTATGCAAGAAATATTGTGCGCAGAAGGGAATAGAAACGCTTCGAAGCAATAAAAATACACTGGAATAGATATAATAGATAATGAAATTGAAAAACAGAGGATTAAGGGGAGACAAGGCAATGCGATCTCAAGGCAGAGCAGTCAGACGAGGAACTATCTCTCCCACACTTCCTCATGCACGGGCCGGGGCGCTTGGGAAAATTGCAAATCGTCTATTAGAACCCATTGATCTTTAGCAGGGCCCAGCTGAAAAATCCCATTGGTACCAGCTAAGTTTTGGACAAAAACCCATTAGGAACCAATTTGAACCAGTTAGGTTTTTGGACTTCTGATGGGTTTTCAATTAGAACCCATTAATTTTCATCAGGGGAGATTAAGGAACTGCCATATGACTATGGTTCTTCCTTTTCAAATAAAACCGACAAGTTTTTTAAAAGCATTTCCATGCAAAGATATTGTGAATATATATAGGAAAGCTCTACACATTTCTGGGAAGTAACCAAGAAAGTTGAAACGTATGTCATAAATCGTAATGCTCAAAAGAGGAAGGATATCGCGATGGAGTGCAAGGAGCTCAGCAGTAATTGTAGAAATGCTGTAATATGTAGTAATGCTTTTTTTTCTTTTCCAGGATGACAAGCTCTATCCTGGCTGCCGAATCAGCCAAGGTGAAAGCCTCCTGCTGGTAATGGGCCATAGCCTGCGCCACCATGGTACAAAAGAAGCGACTGAAAGCCTGCTTCAGGTGATTGAAGCACACCTGCCGGAAGGAACGTCGTTTCCAATGTCGAAGTACCTCTTTTATAAGCAGTTTTCAGGGTGTAAAAAGCTAGCTAAGCTTCATTTCTACTGCCCAGACACTATGCTGTATCTTGGTGCTCCTAATGATGAGGACACTGACATCCTCTGTTCTGATTGTGAAAGCAGGCACACAATTTCGAACTTGACAAAAAATGGCACTTTTTTTATTACACTTGACATTGAAAGTCAGTGCCGTGACATCCTAGAGGATCCAAAAAGCTCAGTGTTGCTAAAACCGAAGAAGGTGTCGCTTGATGTTGGGGACATCACATTTAGCAAGGCCTACAATGAGTTGCCCCTGACACCAAGCGACATCAGTTTCACATGGAACACTGATGGTGTACCTCTGTATGAATCATCGAAGTTCAGTGTCTGGCCCCTGCAGCTGCAGGTGAACGAACTACCACAGAAGGAACGAACCAACTCTGTTATGTTAGCTGGGTTATGGTTTGGATCCCGAAAGCCCGACATGAATTGTTTTTTGAAGCCCTTTGTTGAGGAGATCAACCGCCTTGCCTCAGATGGGTTCACATGGACTGCTCCAAGTGGCGACACCATGCACACCCATGTGTTTCCTGGGCCATGTTCAGTGGATACTGTAGCCAGATCCATGGTTATGAACATGACTCAGTTTAATGGAGCATATGGGTGTGCATGGTGCGAACACAAAGGGGAAGTTGTTGTGAAAGGAAAAGGCCATTGCCGCGTGTACCCAGTCTCAAGTAATGAGACTATGAGAACGCACGCATCTTTTCAGATGAATGCAGAGAAAGCAGAGCGCAATGCCACACCATGCCGTGGCATTAAAGGCGTGTCTGTTCTCCTGCTCCTAGCTTTTTTTAAGTTTCCTACAGGCTTCGTAGTCGACTACATGCATGCTGTGTGTTCAGGGTTTGTGAAGTACACGACATGCATGTGGTTCGACTGCAAGTCAGCGTTCCCATTTAGCATGGGAGGTAAGATCTCTGTCGTTGACAGTAGGTTGCTGAGCCTTCAACCAATTCATGAGATGTCAAGGCTCCCTCGTTCTTTGGTGCACAGGCGGTACTGGAAGTCCTCGGAATGGCGCAATTGGTTGCTGTATTTTTCTCCAGTTGTTCTTAGGGGACTTCTTCCACCTGTGTACTACAAGAACTGGGTACAGTTTGTTTATTTAATGCATTTTCTTTTGAAGGAATCCATACCTTTAGATGAGCTTCGAAGTGTTGCGAAACAAATGAAACTTTTTCTAAAAGAATATGAAAAACTGTATGGCAAAGAACACATCACATACAATGCACACCTTCTTTTGCCTCTTGTTGACTCTGTAAGAGAATGGGGTCCGTTGTGGAACTATTCAGCCTATTCATTTGAAAACATGAACGGTTCCATTGTCAAGCTTGTCAACGGTACACGGTATGCACACTGGCAGATTGTGGAGAAGTACCTTATTATGTCAGCTCTGCCAAAGCTATGTAGCCGTAGCACTTTTTTTTCTCAATCGTCTGCTGGTCATTTAATGACAACATTGATCAAACACTATAAGTTGAAGAAATTCTGTACATGCCTGTCTGGCTGTGTCTTTTATGGCAAATCTGAGGTATCTCCTGAAGGCATCTCCTTCAGTAAGGTTAGAATGAACGGAGTCCTGTTTTGTGTTGAGCGGCTGGACAAGTCTCGTCGGCTGAACTCTTACGTAGAGGCAGTGTGTGATGATGGAAGCCATGTTTTGGGAAGAATTGTGTCTATTTTTTCGAGAACGCAGGGTTGTCACATGTCTGATCAATCTGAAAGCTCTGTATTATTTTATGTTCAGGAGCTGAGATGTCAATCGGTGCTTATGGATCTCCCTATGATGACCAGAAACTTTTCTTGCGTGCAATTGACCAATCGTGTTGTGAAGGCAAATGCATTCTCAGCCAAGAAGTGTGTTGCCCTTAAAGTCGAAGGAAGTCTGTTTTTATGTTGTGTTGATCAGACATACATGTTTGAGGCTGTTTAAATCATAATAGTAATGATTTTTAGGGGGACAAGACAGAGAGCTGTGTAAAGCTGCATGACTGTGCTCCTGCCCCCCGTACTACCCATTTTCACCTCTAATGCAGGAAATGTAGGCGGGACGCTACATCCCTACAACACTACTCGTAAGGCGATATCTCGAATGGACGGCTGTATTTTTGGAAAAAGAGGTCGAGATTGAACCAGGTCGATGAGGCGTGTGATATGAAGATACCTAGTTTCCTCCTCTCTTCGCTTCGCTCCCTCAAGGCGGCGACGTGGAAAAGACGCAAGGCTGTTCTCTCTCCTTCTCGGAGAAACATGACGTAAACATTTCTGTCAAATGTGCCTCATTTTTTTTTTTTAAATATACGGTCATCCGTTCGAGATATCGCTGTATGAGTGATGTTCTGATGCTAGTAGCATCCCGCTGCACGCTTTTGCCGCTTGTTTTGTGGAATGGGGATTTTGGTTCAGCATCCCTTTAAGAGTGTTACAAAGTTCCCTTTCAAGTGGTGAACCAAAATGCTGGCTTGTGCATTTAAGATCAGTTATTCACATGGTTTAGTGTGCTTAAATGTATGTCGCAAAAATTTGATGAATATGAACCTGTAAAAATAATCCTGATCCGGGGATATTTGAAAAAAACTTAAAATTTGGGTACTCCCAGTTGTAAAAGCCCGACCGGTTTTCATTATTTTCGGAGAGTGTTTGGCAATGCACATGTCTTTGTTCATAGCCTTGTAAAATAAAGTGTTTTGTCCCCTTGTCAGTAAAATAAGATAGCCTACCTGAGTGGGAAGGCCCTGCAGCTCTGCTCGGGACCTTCTCTCCACACACATCACTTTCCTAGACGTTCTTTCTCCAGCATTCTTTTTTGAAAAATAAACATTTCCACACATTCTCTTGTCGTCCGCATTGACTATAAGGATTCAAAATTGTCAGAATTAGACACCTTTTGTTACCCAAAATGAGTGGTGTCGTGGTCAATGTATGAGCATGAGTTTAATGGTACGGAATTTATTTTGTCATGATAACCCAGCAATGTTTGAGTGTGGTGAACATATGATTCTTAGTATTTAAAAAGTGCAACAAGATAGGGACAAGGAAGAAAGACAAGAAACAGTCCAACTTACAATTCTTTTTTTTTTTTGGCGCGCAGCTCTCAGGCGCTTGTTTCTGGCTTGAGTGGCGTGGCGTAACCGCGCTGGGCATTATGAGCGAATTTAGCGGGTAATATTCCCTGCTAAATTTACCGGAAAAGGTTCCCCGCTAAATTTGGCGGGGAACTTTTCCCTGCCTTTTTTAGCGAAAAAAAAGTAACCTCTAAATTTGGCGGAGAAAATTTTCCACTAAATTTGGCAGCGAAACTTTTTATGCCGAATTCTGTGGAAAAAAGTTCCCCGCTAAATTTAGCGGGAGAAATTTCCCCCCACAATTCAGCAGAAAACTTTTCCTGCTATATTTGGCAGAAATATTTGCCCGTTAAATTTAGTGGAAAAACTTTCCCCACCAAATTTAGTGGAAAAATTTCCCGCTAAATTTAGCAAGGAAAATTTTCCGCTGAATTTGGCAGGGAACTTTTCCATGCCATTTTTAGTGGAAAAAAGTTCCCCAGTAACTTTAGTGGGAGAAATCTCCCTACTAAATATGGCAGAAAAATTTCCCTGCTAAATTTGGCGGAGAAAATTTTCCACTAAATTTGGCAGGGAAACTTTTCCCACCAAATTTAGGCGGAAAAAGTTCCCTGCTAACTTTAGCGGGAGAAATTTCCCTGGTAAATTTAGCGGGAAAAATTTCCCTGCTAAATTTAGCGGAAAAATTTCCCCGTTAAATTCAGCGAAAAAATTTCCCTGCTAAAAACGTGTCTCTAGATATCAATGTAACATATTGATGCGGTGCGCTTAATTAACAACTCTTTAACTCAGACACCTCACTACGCCTAACAAAAATACCCGGCATCACTTTATTAATCTACCGATCTATAGCTCACACCACAGAGAGGCAATAGGATGTCCACAGACACACAAGGACCATAGCATGGAAATAGAAAGGAAAAAGAAAACTTTTTGTTTCGCGGAGATCCCTGTAGCGCTTTTGTGGCCGTTCTATGGCAAACCAGCGATCCATACAGAGTCCAAGAACTGTCTACAGGAATCCATAGGATGGACAAAGGGGAAATAGAACGGCAAAACAATGGACATAGGACGTCCACACACATTTTTGTAGGGGTGCGAAGAGCGCGTGCGCCAAACTTGTACGCACAGTTGTGTTGACACGCCGTCAATCGCAGTCAGGAGCCAATGAGAACGCGCTATCGTCGCTAGTGGCTCACCAATAGTAAGCGAAATCCAAGGCAGCATGGCGGCGCACAGCGACATGTTCGAAGCGTCGAAGTGTTCGTTCGATCTTGGGACAATTTCGCCGGCTTCTCCGACGTTTTGTCAAGCTTGAACCATCGCAGCCTAGGAAAATACACTCCCCACCGCTCCCCAAACGAAAAAGTAAGTTCTGCGGGCGGAGAACCGGATACGTCTCGCCGAGTCGGCCGAGTGGCGCGAGCGGACACGTCACCCTCCTCTCCTCTCTTGGCTTCTGATTGGTCGAACGCACCGCAACGCTTCGGAAAGTTGAGCGAGTCTCTACTCCCTTGCGTCGCGCTACGGAGCGTTGCGGGTAGGCGCGCGTCCCACCGCAAGCGACCGCTCCTGGGCGCAAGGACGCCGCAACGCACTCAAACGCGTTCAAACGCGAATGTGCGTATGGGCCTTTATACTTGAGCAAAAAGACCTGCTAAGAACAATCGCATGATTGTTTCTTGAACTAATGGCTCTATTTTTCGTTCCAATCGGCCATTTCCATCGAGCGCTCGAAGAGCAGCTGTCGGAGAGTGCAATACGTCTCTGTAGATCATGCGATTTCAGCGCGCTCATGACGACATGTTAACCTTCACAGGCAAAACAATGGGGCAGCTGACGCAGTTCTGAGCTCCGCCAGATGGTAATGTGAACGCGTTTCACTTGGCATTTCCGGATGCCTTTTCTCCGCTTTCCACAGGAGTTCAATAGGTTCGGGAGAAAAGTGAAATCTGGTTTGGCAGCGTTCGATTGGGAGTGCGCCCGCGCAGCTTGCCGCTCTACTTCCGCGGAGCGATTCTGCTTTGATGAGAAGGGAAGCGCAACGACATTCGATTTATTCGTTATTAATACACATTTTATGTTATTTCGTGATTTTAACAAATGCTGGGTGTTTTCGTGGTGTGTCCAGAACGCGCGTGATATTTATACAATGAAATATACAATTTTGTTGCAGTTCCTCTTTAGGGGTATTAACTATGGAGACAAACCCCTCCCTTTGCTTTCCGGGATGCGCATCACGTGGTAACAACCTCACGCCTTTGTGTTGAGCCACGCTGAAGGAATCGTCACATATGGATGGTAGAGCTTTTTCCTGGTGCTTCACAAACAGTCCCCTCCTGACTAGGGATCTCTTCGCACTTGGCGGTATTTTGTACGCGTTTTCGGCAACTTTACAGGTTTTTTTCTGCGGGATACTGCCGGTGGCATCGGTACTTCCTAACGTGTTGTAGCTTGGCTTTTACAACAGGTATACACAAATATCGAGGTTGTTATGAAATGGGAAGCCGAAATAACAGAACCGGCAGAAATAAAACGAGGACTTGGGCATGGTGTTCTCCTATCACCTCTAAATTTTATGACATTCCAGAGTAAAATTAAAAACAAATGAGGAGAGTGAAGTTTAGGCCTTGATCGGTCATATATGTAGTGAGAAAGAAAAGTACACCAACTTATACCAGAAATGTTTTAAGCAGACGACACTGTACTGTTAGCAGGTAGCTGAGATGTGTTAAGATACGAAAAGAGGAAGGAGACTCCTTGGGCCTGAAATTCAGTAGCGTCAAGTTAGGGTTGATAGTTTATAACGGTGAGAAGAGGGACCCACTGAAAACCCAAGGCGTTCTCAAAGAACACTTAGAGAAGTACAAATACTTAAGATTATGGATGAATGAGACAGAACCATACTTTGAAGAACAGGAATAAAATATGCTGAAGAAGAGAAAACGGTATGACGGAATTTTGAAGCATATGCCACTACTGAATTATACTAGATATGAAGCTGTTAGGGGAATAGAGAAAGGAGCCATGGTTCCAGGGTTCTTTTTTAGGAATGCGGTATTATGCATAAAACAAAATGCACCAAATGAAGGAGTACAATAATACATGGGCTAGGCATTTTTCCATGTTAGAGAGGCGATGGGTTGGTTGATATTTGAACAAAGACTAGACAAAATTGAAGATATACGATGGACTAAGAAGGTATATAAGCATCTATACATAAAAAAATTGAAAACCAAATGGAAATACCGAACTCGAAAACTGAAATTCGAATACCAAGATTCAAGTGGTGGCGCAGATCAGACTACCTTTGTGAAAAATTAAGTAAAAAAGGCGAGAGAAAGAAAATGGAGCAAAGAATACTGGGAAAATCAGTTTTAACAATGCAGAGGGGACAAAAAGTGGAAACGAGGAAAGAATATTGGAATGATGATTCACCAGGGAGCTTGTTGTTATTCGAGTCTAGAACGGGAGTATTGCGAACTAGAACATAGGGGCTAAAATATGAGGAAATGAATACCCGCTGTGCGGTATGCCAAGAGAGAGACGAGACAATTGAACATGTGGTGTTGAGGTATACAGGGCTTTCTGACAGCCGTCTTGGAAAGGTGACAGATTTAGCCGGAGCGCTGGGGTTTGCAGACGAGACTGGAAAATGGTTGATAAGTGAATTTTATTACCAAAGAGGAGATTGTAACACTGGTGGAAATTATATACAGAGAATTTAATCACGCACAACTAACTAACAAAGCTCGGGGTAGGCGGGATAGAGAAAAATTGAGACTCCCTCTACCATGACAGGCCCAAAGTCCTCACCCTGTCTTCCAGTGGGCCCTGTGCCGTGGTAACGCCGATTAGGCTTTGTCAG